TGTGGCTCTTACTGGGGAATCCTTGGCCTGTGCAGGAGGAATTGCTGAGCTGGGCTGCGGCAGGCTCCCTGTCCCCTCCCAAAATCCTGCAGGGACAACAACCCCGGAGAGTAGCATCGGTGTGCTTTGACCACGGATGAAAGGCTGCAGGTCTTGATGACAGGCTCTTTTCCCCTATTTTTATCTATTTTTCCCTTCCCCCCGCTTCTTATCTCTTTTTTTAACCTATTTTTACCCCCATTTTCTCTTTTCAGTTTCCTTTCTTCTCCTCCATTTTTTTCCCTCTCTTTTTGTCTTTTTTCTTCCATCTCTTTTTTCCTTTCTCTTCCCCTCCCCTTCCCCCCTCTTGCCTTGTCCTCCTCGCTTTTCCTCCTCATCCCCTTCTTCTCTTTTTTCTGTTCTTCCCCCTGCCTTTCCCCCTCTTCTTTTTTCCTCTCTTTTGTAGTTTCTCTCCTCTTTTCTCTTTCCTTCTCTCTCCTTTCCTATTCTCATTTTCCACTTCTTCCACTTCCCCCACACACTTTCCTCCACTTCCTCACTCTTTCCTTGACTTCCCCAATCTCTTTTTTCTCTTTTTCTTTCCCTCTTCCTCCTTTCTCATTTCCCCTTCTCTTCTCTCCACTCTCTTTCCCCCCACCCTCTTCCCCCAATCTCTTTTCTTCCCATCTCCACTCTTTTCCCCCACCTCTATTTTTTTCTCTCTTTTCCCCCTCCCCCCATCATTCTTCTGGCCCAGGACTGAGCCCTCAGTGCTGTCTTAGGGCAGTCCAATCCCCGTTTTCCCGAGGTGCCATGTTGTAGCACCAGATGTCAGACAATTTTGGGAAGATGCAGCCAGCCTCTTTGGGAGGGAGAACCAGGGTGAGGGTCCAGTTTTGCTTTTCAAGAAGTCCAAGGTTATGGCAAGCTGGCAGCAGCGTCTCATGGAGTGTGCAAAGTGCTTTTTGGGAGCCTTTAGCCTGGAGGAGGTAAAAGCAAGGGGTTTTCCCTGCTCTGCCAGCAAGCCAGCTGCCCTGGCTTCTCCCGGGGGGAATACTTCTCCAAAATATTTCACCAGCTGGTGCCTTCCCAGTCCCTGCCTGGCTGCTTGGTCAGTGGCAGAGCTGGTTGCACTGGACCAAGATGCTCTAGTGCCCACCTGTGCCACAGCCCACCCTCAGGGCATCTAATCTGGAAATTCCTTTTTTGGGTATGCCCCAGCCCTGGCTCCTTCCCAGGGAGCTTGCAAGAAGGTGTGCAGTGAAATGAAGCTCATTGACTTAATGAGGGTGTCCCACGGGACTGCTGCTGCCCTCCCCTCTCATGAGCTGCCTAATTCCAAGAGAAGGGAGAAGTGGGAATTTCTCTGTCTGGGCATCCTGTCTGCACACGCTCGGGGTACCTCAGCAGGGTGCTGCTGCCCAGATCCTGGCAGCTCATGGGGGCAGCTGCACAGCTCTGGGGTGGGGAGAGGCTCTGGGAACACCAAGGTTTCCATCCCACCAGTGGGAATGGAAGCAGCAGTCGTTCCTATTCCTCTTAGATGTGCCAAGGAGTCCTGCATCCCAGTGGTGCCACCGCACCCTGGCCCCAGGGCAGCCGAGCTGGTCAGGACACGCCAGAGAAGGCTAGCAGGACCTGGCTCCTTCCCCAGGCTGATGGCAGTACTGGAGCTCTGGGAGGGGCCCTATGGAAGCTCTGCCATCTGGACAAACCCGTGTCCTGTCCAGATTGGTGGGGGCTGTTCCACAGCAGGCGCCCCTAACCTCATCGGTCACGGGGAGAGCTGCTGGCAGCAGCAGCCAGCTCCCATTTTCAGGGGAAAACTCGCCTGTTTTGCTTCAAAATACTGTGGGAAATGTTGCATAAAGCAAAATGGACATCTGAGCATTTGTCTCGGTGATTTTCCTGAATATTTTTAAAGCGGAGCATCAGCTCTGGCATATGGAGATCTCCACTCTGTAGGACCACAGCACACTCTGACCTTCCTGGTCACACACAGCCAAGGGCAGCCAAAGTTGTCACCTCCCCATCAAAACCCTGTCTCAGGGACACTTCTTGAGCTGTGGAGGTGACTTGCTTAGTGTCACCATGGCAGTGTCGGCCCTGGGAATGCTCCATCTCTGCTTGGCCATCCCTAGGAATGAGGGGCACCGTCACCTGAGCTGGATAAGTGGATTTGGGGGTTACTTTTTAAAGCAGAGGCAAAGAACAATCAAAATTTCTGGGGTGTGGGAGAGTGCCAGTGCTGCCCAGTGAAGAATTTCATCCTGGGCTCCAGGAAAACTTGTGATTGGGAAACTTGTGATTGCTCAGACCTGGCTTCAAGGTGTTGCTGGCATGTGATGCTTGGCGGGGCAGGAAAGCTGCAGTGCTCCCTCCATCCTGTGACAGCACCTGGGCAGGGGGTCCTGGCCCTGTAACTGAGCCAGGAAAGTGGCTTTACACACTTGGCTTTGGGGACTTGTTGTGTTTCTGGCCAGTGGAAATATTGGAACTGTTTTCTGGGATTTGTTTCCCTCCTTGTTCAGTTTTCCTCTGAGATTATAACCTTTTCCCAAGGCCTGAAGTGGGGTGTTCCAACAAAGCTGGGCATCCATGAGGACCGTGTCCATGCATGACCCCACCACGTACAGTTGTGCATGCTGGTGATTTAACCAGAGCTGTCAAGCAGGGGGAGAGGATTTAGGATCTTTTGGGCAGGAAGGAGTTAAACATCTAGTAGCAGCTGCTGGGACAGGCACTAGGGATCGGTAGGGTGGGTCTGAAGGCTGGCTTGGCTCCCAAAGGCTTTGGGGGGCTCCGGTGGGTCCCCAGGCAGGCAGTGGGGTCCCCGAGAGGCTGTGCCAGCAGCGGGAGGCTGGCGCTGGGGAGGAAGGCTTGGCAGGGCCGGCGCTGTGGCCGCTCCTCCCCCTGCTCTGCTCTGGTTTGAAGTGCTGGAGCTTGGGAGGAGAGAGCCATGTGAGTGCTCCGAGAGCCTGGCTGGGACAGAACTCCTGCTCTTCCCTCCCTCCCTCCCTTCAGCCTCTCTGCTCTGCTCTGGGAAGCAACAGAGCTCATTTTCCCTTTCCAATGGCCCCACCTCGCTTGGGGTTTCTGCTCTTCCTGGCTTGCTGCTTCTCCTGCTCCAAAACACAGCTCCTGGACTGGGTTTGGGATAGCACGAAGACCACAGGAAGCCCAGCAGTACTCGGTGAGGGAATCCCGGCATCGGAGCCTCCAACCTCAGCCACAGCTCTGCCTCCCAGCCCGTCCTCAGGGATACGGGGTGGTGAGGTGGCAGGAAATGTCACCATCCCATGGCAGCAGGAGCCAGATCCTGCTACAGCAGCACCTGTGGGTAAGGGAACCGCGGCCCAAACCACGGAGCAGTGGGACAGGAATGCCACGGGGCTGGTGGAGAGCACAGCGTGGCCAAGCATCGCTCCTCTCCACAGCATGTCACCTGCCCCAGGACAGCAGGCAGCCAGCACTGATGACTCCCAGCTCCTGGGGTCAGGGACCACTGAAGACCTGCAGCTCCTGGGGTCAGAGACCTCTAAGGACCCCCAGCTTTTGTGGTCAAGGACCACTGAGGACCTGCAGCTCCTGGAAACAGGGACCGCTGAGCATCTGCTACTCCTGAGGATGAGGACTACCAAAGACCCCCAGTTCCTGGAGTCAGTGACCCCCAAGGATCCACAGCTCTTGGAGACAGGGACTGCTGAGGACCTGAAGTTGCTGGGGTCAGGGACTACTGAGAACCCACAGCTCTTGGGGGCAGGGACCACTGAGGACCCACAGCTCCCAGGCATGAGGACCACTGGGAATCTACAGCTCCTGGCAATGAGGAACACTCATTTCCTGAGGACAGTGACCACTGAGAACCCAGAGCTTCTGGGGAACACTGAGAACCCACAGTTCCTGAGGACGATAACCACCAAGGACCCAGAGTTCCTGGGGACAGGAACTTCTACAGCAATGGAGACACAGGTGTCCTTGCAGAGACCAGCTGGTCTCCAGCCAGGTAGTGCCCCTTTTCCTTTCTCACCAGGTGACAGTACCCACGAGCAGGCGGTGCTGTTCCAGGACCCCTTGGCACAACCTCCCCATTACTTCCACGCAGCATCACCGAACCTATGGCATGGCAGCGGCCACCCGGGGCTGGCTCTGGCCAGCAGGAAGGAGAGCCAGAGTCTCCCTTGGCCTGACCAGAGGTTGGATAAGGGTGTGGATTCTCCTGCTGCCGATAACTCTGTCCCTCTGGAGTTCGATTTACTAACTGCTACCATGCAGCTCTCCAGGAGTGACAGTGCGGGGCTCACATCCTTCTTTCTGGGACTGATACCAGCGGCCGGCCGTTGCCAGCCCATCCCGACCCACCTGCCTTTCTGCAGCGTGCTGGGCACCAGCCATGTCCGATTGCCAAATTACCTTCAGCATAGCAGCGAGGAGGAAATTCGGGCAGCTTTGCATGAGTGGGAGGGGCTGCTTGAGTCGCGGTGCCATCACTACCTGGAGTGGTTCCTCTGCTTGCTGCTGCTCCCTGGCTGTAGCCCCTCGGTCCCCGTAACCCCCCCGCCGTGCCAGGGCTTCTGCGAGGCCGTCAGAGACCTGTGTTGGAGTCACTTGGCCGGCAGGCGCCTGCCTCTGCCTTGCGATGCTCTCCCTGAGGAGGATGAAGGGGTTTCTTGTGTCTTTATTAATGCTTCTGCAGGTAACGTGGTTGGGCAGCGTCCCTGTGTCGTGTCTCCCCTGCCCACACTCCCCCAGGGGTTGGGGGATGCTTCTGCCTTGTGCCCATGGGATGCTTGCCGAATCCAAAATCACTTTCTATCCAGCCTTGGCTTTTTCAAACAGACAGTGAGTTTTGGCTCCCTTCACAAGACGGAGCATCACTCCTGGTGAATCGCAGTGGCCAGCACTGGGGATGCTCTCAAATGCATCGTGCTGGCATTCAGGATCCAGGTGCTGCAGGGCTTTGGGGTGTCCATCCTGGCTGGGATCAGAGCACTTGGAGAGCTGGCAGCTCCCTGCAGGAACAGGGCAAGGACCCAGACCCTGTGGCCACCCAGCCACAGCACCGTGGTGGTGAAGAGGTCTCAAGGTGACCCTCAGCCATGCCCGCACACTCCCCTTCTCTGGAGCAGCCCTTTGGGGTTAATGATTCACCCAATGGCAGCTAATGTTTGATCCCCACTGCTTGGAAAAGGGGAGAGGTTACTTCACCCCCAGCTTCGTCATTCGGTGGCTGTGATCTTCCTGGGACCCAGACAGGGCAGGGGGGTGAGAGAAGGGAGCAGGGAGGGGGGTGACTGGTGCTTGGAGGAATGCAGTTGGGATGAAAGCTGGAGCTCCCCTGGCCTGCCAAAGCCTCTGAATGAGGCTGTGTTCCCCTGCGACCCCTGGCTGGGAGATGGCAAGGAGGAATGCCGAGACCCGGGGCTGGCAAACCAGGGTCGCACACACGGTCTCCTCGGTGTCAAAGAGACTCTTTCATGGGGGGTGCACTGGGATCATGGGGATGCTTGCAGAGGAGATGCATTCCCAGCTGGGACTGCACTGTGGCTGCTTGGATGGGCAATGTCAGGAATGAGTGGGGAATGTGGGGGCTGTGGTGCACCCCATGGAGTGACTTGATGTGCTGCTGTGTGCTGGAGGTCCCCTGAATCCCACGCTGGCAGCCTGGGCTCAGGCCAGCCAGGAACGTCATGACAGAGTGGGAAGGTGGCTTGGAGCATCCTGGGAACGTTTCCAATGGCAGAATCACTGTGTCCAGAGACATCCCCACAGCCATCCCATGCCAGCACCAAACTCACTGTGACCCCCACCATCTCTCCATGTTCCCTGGTGCATCCCCAGTTTGCCACAGCGATGATGTGCTGCAATATTTGGGTTCTGGATGCCCTTTGGGAAAAGCAGGTGTGGCCTGAAAGCTCTTGGAATGAGAAGGGGCACTTGGCTTTGTAGGAGAGCAGACATTTGAAGGGGTCTCCCCTTGCCCCTCTGCTCTCCAGTCCCCATCCAGCCTCTGTCATGCGGGAAAAAAGTTTATTTGGTTTGGGAAGTGCTAGCACCCAGGTCCCACCCCGGACTCGGGGGCGAGTGGCATGTTTGAGGAGGAGGGAGACTCCCAGAGCTGGCTGCAGCTCCAAGGGGAGAATGGTTGCAAATTGCCCTGCTAACAAAAGCCTCTTTCAGCGTGTCTCGTCATCCTGAGCCCTGGGAGGACACAATGACTTGTCTGGCTGCAGGAATTGCAGCACTGGCTCTAACACCCGTGTGGACCCCCGGGAGGAAGCTCTGGTTTCCTTTCTTCTTAAAGCTGCCACAAATTTGGCTTCCTCCAACCCCAGATAAACGCAATCCCTGCATCCTGGCATTTGCAGCTGGAATGAGCCTGTGAAGTGCTGAGCATGGAGTGACTCAAGGGTGGGTGACAGTCTGAGAGTCTGGGGGAGCCCCACTAACTCACCCCATCAGTTTTGGTGTAGGGCTGTGCACACCTGGGAGTGAAAGGGTGCTGGACTCCAGGATCCAGAGGTTCTCCTCTAAGCAGACTGGGGAAGCCTGATCCCAGTTCATCCCTTCCCTTCCCTTCCCTTCCCTTCCCTTCCCTTCCCTTCCCTTCCCTTCCCTTCCC